GAGATTAGGCAGATAACAAAAATTACGTAGAACTACAAAGAATAGAATGTCATGGAGAACTATGATCACAGTACCCAGGGTCATATTCTTTAACGGATGTATTCTTATCTAATTGCACCGTTTTTTGAGATATATACATTAAACATTATTTCTTAACCACTGTACTTTATATGTCTGTCAGTATCCCACGTAAAGTTTGAAAAAACAGTGACGTCATGGACATCTATAACATTTTACGGTGAAGTTCAGCAATTCTTTTCTTTGTTTTATAGTGCCGTGTCCTCTTTGGGCAACCACGTATCAGCACAATTTTCTTTCTTTCGTAGCTCTTAATAAATTTTGTATTTTCATTATTTCTCCTAAACTCCTTCATCCATTGCTCAAGCCGCTAAAGTTTGATTTCCTCTGTTTCATTTACTCTTTAATCTCTTCTGTGAGTATCAGATTTTCTAAGCCGTCTTTCCTTATTGTATATCAACAGAATTTCAACTATATCTTCCTGACGGTAATATAAGTTTCCTTTTTGTTTCTATCTTCTCTAAAACTTAATCGTTGCTCAGATATTTGATCCATAGTATCCTGATCATTTCTTTTCTGTAGAATCAGATTTTTGTTGCTTCAAGTCCCTTCTTCAATTTTGAGAAGATTGTCAAGCATTAAATGTCATATAGGAGGGCAGATATCAAATAAAATTCACTATTCTTTTCTTTGTTTTGACACGAAATTTTTCTATTTAACTTTTCTCCATAGCTTTTGGAATGCATCCTTGGCCATCCCAATATGTCTTCGGATTTCAGCGTCGCGCTTTCGTTCCTCTGTTAAAACACTTCCCAAATATTTCAATTTTTGTCTTCTTTGATACTGACGACTTCCATTTGTAATTTGTATTTTGGGCTCATTCTATTGCCAAAAGAAATGCCATCTCTTTAGTTTCAGTTTATGTTTAGTCCTTTTCTCTCGCTTTCCTTCCCTACCTTCTGTAGGCGCTTTTTGTAGATTTCTTTCCTCGTCTGCTATCAACGCCGTGTCATCTGCATATCTTTTGTTACTAGGATTTTATGACATCAAATCTCTTAGAATTGTCTCGCTGTATAGGTTAATATGTCCGATAAGAAAACACATCATTATCTTTCACCTCTTCCTATTTTGTGTATCTGGTGAATTCATTTTTTCTCTGTATGCAGGCGTTTTGCTGCCAGTAATACACACAATAACTTTCTCAAGAGACAATCAGAGAATATATCTACTAAATGAGGATTTTGTACAAGGATGAAACAAAGAGGCATATTATGAGTATATTTACGATAGTACTCATATATAGGAGAGATGATGGTTTTAATTATTGTGGAAGCATTTTCCCAGGAGTTTGTGCCAAAATATGAACACTTCTGAGGCAGAATCAATCTGAGTGTTACTTCGCCCTTACTAATGGAATGGTACGGGAATGTCTTTTTGTACGTGGCATTGGGGGTCCTAACTATGAAGGTCAAATCCGGTGAACCTCTAGAATATATTATTCCGGGATATCCTTTATGAAACTAGCAATAGACGACTGAGAGGCGAGGAACGTTTCGTCTGTGGGAAAAGGGATGTTTTATGAAAAATAATTAATCACCCACAAGACCGTAGAAACGAAGCCGAGAAGTGAAGATGAGGTAGCGAGAAATGTCCACAATCCTCCATTCTTAGTTTGGTTTGGTTTTTGTGAAGATTGGATATATCAGTTGGAGACAAATACTTTCTGGGGCGTTATATGGTAACGTTTTTATTTCCCAGCATTTTGGATCGTACATAGGAATCTGACTAAATTTTGATTAATAATAATATTGACATATCTTTCAATGAATATAATGCGTAATAGCATTATACCGATGTATTTAATGTCAAGATTGTACAACCAGACAATAAATACTTGTTATTACTTGTATAAAGCATTTTTTTTCTTCAATGCATATCGTCATTCCATTTTTTAAAATTCCAATTGATCTCAACTTACCATGCTCCAGTCATGAATCTCTTATATTATGTAGATGGCTTAAGATCTTTGATTAAGATTTGATTAATCTAGGTATGTTGTAGTGTTTTTTTTAGGAAGATAAACGAAGATTTGTAAGAAAGAGACTGCTAACATTTCTGTGGTGAGATATTGTATTTATTTACAATATTTACATTGTTTAGACTGTTGTCTTAACTTTATTATCATGTTGACGATGTTTCTGCCGTTGTACATATCGTAAAGAAATATATGTTATCTTGTAGAGAAAGGCTGCTGATCAGACATTGAAAGTAGGGTAATGGAGTGCAGTTTATTGATTGCTCCTATATAAACAGTGCACAGATTTTGTGCAAAATGTCAGCGAAGATATTCTCTTTAAAATACCTGTTTTATGATTTTGTATCTTATTTTTATTAATATATGAAAGCATTATTAATGTTTTGTTTTTTGTTATTTCTTTTAATTTTAATTAAGTTTGTTTTTTATCGTTAATTATTAGAATGGCGGCATTCCATAAAATTACGACCATATCATTTTGAAAATCAGGTTCCCCCTACTATCACCGAAGTTAAGCAACCTGGTCAGTACCTAGATAGGGAACCGTTTGTACAATTGAAATGGCTAGATCCAACCGCAAGTTCTATGGTAACAGTTTCTTCTAGCGCACATCTTGCTTTTGAAACTCTCTTTCAAATTCTTGCTTTCCAATCAACTTTGATCATCAAATATTTAAATGCAATGTAAATATTCATCTTTTTCTTATTACTTTTCTTTTTATACTTCTCTCTGCGTACATAATTTATCATATTCCCTCACATCCAATAAGGCCATGCGTTTTAATAACTTTAAAGCCTCGTTACGCCTGAAATGATTAAAAATGATTCTTGAAATTTATTATTATCAGATGGGTTTTTTTCTCAGATTATTAAGCTAGTATCTTCTACATTTAACTTTCAAACTCATTGCTAACCCTTGGCAATAAATCCTCTAACAATAATAAATGTGTTGTAGCATACCTACGGGCGATAATGTGTGTGTCCTCACTCACATAAATACAGTAATAAATACTGTATATTGGTCTGCATTTGGAGATTCGTCTCAATCTGTGTTAGTCAAACTCTGTCTCCGGGCAGAGAACATCCCCAGACAAGGCTATGTCGAAGGGCAGAGTCTCGTCTCTAGAAACAGCTACTCGACCCCGTTTTATACAGGGTAACCGGGCTCGGATACCCCACATTAAATTCAGCATTGTGGTACATCTTTGTGGTAGATAGCCTGCAGTTGGAGATTCGGCTCCATCTCTGCTGGTCAAATTATCTGCCTTCGGGCTGAGAGGATCCCCAGACGATGCTATGTAGAAGGTCAGAGTCTCGTCTGGGGAAACAGCTACCCAACCCTTTTTTATACGGGGTCTACGAAGAAATTTTTGCAGAGCCTACGACCTCGCATACCCCACATTAAATTTGACTTCGTACTACATCTGACCGTGTGGGGCTGTTAGTTGTTATCCTACGATTCATTATGGAATTCACTTGACTCACTTCTAGCAGTTGACTACTTCTACGCGCCACTGAGGCATTTTATATGTTTTGTTTATGTCCTAAGTATTATCGTTCATTCCTTACCTTCGTGTGATTATTCTGTTCAGTAACATTCCCTAGTTGACAACAAAATGTCAAAACGAGATCACTATTAATACTAATAACATATGTCAATAATTTGAATAATCAAAATTTATTGCTTTAATCATTCGAGTAAAATATGTTCACATTCACATTCAGTTTACATCTTTCTTTATTACGAAGCCATAGTCTGTAAAAAGAATTGGACTACGACAAGGTATTACTTCACTGAAGAACACACTTTCACCTATTTTTATTCATTATTTATACAGCAGGGACAAAGTAGATATTATCAAAGCAAATGTCTTTACTGAAACATCACTACCATGGGGTCCGTAGCAATTGCTTTACGATATTACCTGACATTATTATTTTAAATTCAAAATATAACTGATTATCTTATCCTTCTGTGTCTATATTTACTCTGCACTGCATACTTTCAAAGTGAGGTCTCGGACATGGGGCGTACAGTCAAATCACTGCTTCTCGTTCAATCTCGGTCATCAATAAGATGGCATGAGGCAAGCCATTCGCTGCTCTACCGCAACTTCTATGGAATATGCTCGAAAGAACTGCATCCCTTGCTTCCACCAGTCCTAACTCTCCCGGCCAGGTTTCAGAAAGCTACCCATAATTCCTAAGCATTCCATTGGTTAGAAGATCCACTCGACCAGATTCTTCCCGCGAGCCACTGCTGTGTGGAACCGACTTCCAAGAGGATTTTATCCCGATCACTACAATCTTAACCTTTTCAAGGGTTAACCTTTACTTCCCCTACTATCTGTATAAACTGCCTCTTAACGTAACTCTCTATATCGAGTCGCCCCCGGCTTTGTACAGGGTGAACTTTACTGTAAAAAAGGAAATCGAAACAGCAGTAGGATTTAATTACTTCTGACGGTGGGAGATTGAGAGAAAACATCATGGTATGTCTACACACACACGCATACACACACACATATACATACAAGTGATCTATAGGCAGTCTTGTACTCAGTCACTAGAATTACTATAAATTAAAATTATTAGCTAGTCGAGGATAGAAATTTAAACTCAAAGCAGTTTGGGGAATGCACCGAAGATACTTTGCCCCTTAGCGTTTATTTTTCAGACATACATACGTGTTCTTTAACCTCTTGTTTAAATTATGATGTTGGTAAATTTATGTCTCGATATCTATATCATATTTATTGTTATTTTTAACTGTAAGAAGAAAACTTGTTATATATAATACAATAGAAATAGGGTATTCGTTATTGCGTAAGTCTGAAATAAATTAAGTCTATATAGTTATTTTGATCCTTGATTAATTCACGCATATATGGACAAGTATTAAAAGACGTTAAGCTAAAAAATATATCTAAGCACACTGAAATTGTTATTTAGAAAAAAATATTAACCAACATAGTACCAACATAGATAGATAGATAGATAGATGGATGAATGAATGCAAACAGAACTAGATAGATAGATAGATAGATAGATAGGTAGATAGATAGATAGATAGATAGATAGATAGATAGATGCAAACAGACTTTGATAGATAGATAGATAGACAGATAGATAGATAGATAGATAGATAGATAGATGCAAGCAGACAGAGATAGATAGATACAAGCGGAATGAGATAGACGCAAGGAGACGGGGATAGATAGATAGATAGATAGATAGATAGATAGATAGATAGATAGATGCAAGCGGAATGAGATAGATGCAAGCAGACAATAGATAGATGGATGAATGAATGCAAACAGAGTGTGATAGATAGATGCAAACAGACTGTGATAGATAGATAGATAGATAGATAGATAGATAGATAGATAGATGCAAGCAGACAGAGATAGATAGATACAAGCGGAATGATATAGACGCAAGCAGACAGGAATAGATAGATAGATGCAAGCGGAATGAGATAGATACAAGCAAACAATAGATAGATAGATAGATAGATAGATAGATAGATAGATAGATAGATAACTCGTGTTTGTTTAGTGGTTACAAATGTCAAGTTAACAAACTTGAGTTATAGCGCAACACAAAGGAAGAGTTCACAAGAATAAAAATCACAAGATTTCGACGATATTGAAGAGCTTCATAAAGGTTTCCACGTTGACAAGGAGAATCTATGTTCGTGACGAAAGCCTCTCCTTGCAGTGCTGCGTGTCCATGTTGAAAAGGTGTTTTTCTCATGACAATGAAAATACAGGCTGAAGGATAGGGAAAAAGTAGATGGTGAGTTGACTTTCGACTACAGAATTACCAATCAACAAAGACATATTGCGAGACAGAAGCCAAATTCAAACATGAAAGTCTATTTTTCCCGAGGTAAAAGAGTGTCAATCAAGTGCACAGGTCATTAAGTGTGTTTATTCCGCTTTACTTATACCTAGCGTGAGATCGGATATGTGAAGATTGAAGACACTTTATTGTTGAAGGTATATGGCCATCAGTTTTCTCTGTTTCGATGTGAATCAGCAGAAATTAACACAAGAATATGATTGCTGAAGTTTTTAAACTAGACCACAAGGTTGACGTATCCACTAAGAATCGACCTATTACTGCTGTAGAATATTAGCTTCTTAAATATAGAGCCCTGTGTCGATTCTCATTGCAAAGCTTATCTTAGGTTGGCACACGTAAAAACTATTTGCATTGCGTCTTTACATTCGATTATCCTATTGTTACAGTTGCAATGCAACAACATTAGGTTTACCTAAAAGTTGCAGTTGTGACTCCTGATACAATGAGATGTATATAGACAATGTAAAAGCAAGTATAACTTTAGCCAGATTTCAATTTCAAAGTGGAATACGTTGATAAAAATACTAGTGTAATAATCGAGCGAGATCGTTACAACGAAACGAGAAAAAGCGTGGATGATAAATGACCTTCACGGAATTATAAAAAGAGACAGAAAACAATGCCAAGGAATGGTATAGAATGCATAACTCTAAATAAAATATATACAAAGTTAAGAGCAGTTCAGTGGAATTTGACTGGAAATAAAAGCATTAATGCACTATGAAAAGAAGGATATAGTAATTAAGACCTTCGAATGTATCGAGCTATCGGAATTTCACCCATGATGATGACATACGTGAAAGATTTAATGTAGATTGTTTAAAATATATTTCAATCAAAGTCAGTTTCTAACGAGCAATACTGGCTTTCGTTCTGGTAAGAGATGTAATGATGCCAATCAATAAATCGATTAGCTATCGAATAGAAAAATCGTATACGTGTGTTGTTGATATCGCAGCACGACATGGACATTTCAATTGAGATTTCAACCATCAGAGACAGTTTTTAATGATCTGATTCCAGTAAACATCTCGATCCAAATGAACTATAATGGTTCACAAATGCTTAAATGCGTGATGAAGACTCGAACACTGAATCATTTAAAACCTCATCAATGTTACGACAAAATTGAATTGAGAGATCTAATAATGTGTAATACTTTCCTTTAGTATGCACTGAGCGTATATAAGAACATAGATGAAGATTTGGTCATTTATGCCTTCCAAATCAAATCCCAGACGAATCTACTAATAGAAAAGAGCGTTTCTGTTTCCTCTACCTGAAGGCTAGTCTACGGAAGATGAGAGGCGCTATGCTGATGACATATGGATTCATAATTGCGATAAGTTGCTCTTGTTGTAAACAATATTCTCGAGCAAGTACCCAAGAAACAACATACGATAAGTTTTCGAAAACAGAAATTGTGACGTAGAATTGGAGTGAAAAAAGATATAGCACGTATCCTGAATCCATCATGCTGGATTTGGAGTTCACAAATTCTAAACACTTTAAATACATGTTTTGTGGATCATTTAGAGCTAATTTCGTATATGAGAGGAGACGGCTGAAGACAGAATAAACTACAGTAGATTGATTTTCGCTCAACAGCGAATAAACAAAACAATAATCCCCAAAAGATTAATCTTGAAATATGAAATAGCCTTGGTAGATCGGGACTTTCATATGTATGTAATGCATGATGACAAAATCGTTCAGAAATATATAAACTTTCAGTTGTCTAGCACTTTTTTCAGATTAATGCTTATTACCTGTTTAAGATCCTTCGCAGACTTGTGAACAGGAGTATATGTTTTCCTCTTGTTCCCTGTTTAGAACAAGGCTTCCACTTCCTTCTAAAATTTACATCGGTCCCATACTTATAGCTTCTCCCTATGAACACTAAGCTTTTATTTATTAATTATTTACTTTTTATTCATTTATATTTCTCCTTAATAGGAGAAGATAGGTTCGCTAATCGACCGATTCACACTCCTTCCTATTTTCTGAAAAGGATAGCGGTTTCTACCCTGTTTCGGGTTTAAGATTGCTCTTTCCGTTCCTTCTAAAGTTTAATTCGCTTCTAGATTTTTAGCATATCCGTCTGAATTGTGAGGCATTATTTACTAATTATTTCGTCTTCTTTTATATGTCGTGTCCATTCAGTTCGTATGCGATCACTTCTTCCTGTCCCTTGTTGTTCTTTTATCTTTTTGTTATTTCTCCCAGATCCTGTTTTTCCATCCACTTGCTTAGGTCCATTAAGTATGTCACGAGTTGATTTCTCTTGTATCTCTTTCCCTATATTCGCCCTGTGAGTATCATAATCTCCAAGTCCTCCTTTCTCATTGCATATCACAGAAATTTCAGCCGCTTCTTCCTGCTCTTTCCTCTTTGTTTACATCCTCTCCAAAACCTCATCGTTGCTCACATGTTCTTACATGGTATACTTATCATCCTTCTGTAGAATCATTGTATCGAGTCTCTTCTTCATCTTTGAGGAGATTGTCCATCATTCGCTGTCGTAAGGAAGGACAGGTATTACGTAGCATTTCAGTACTCTTTTCTTTGTTAGTAACGAAACTCTCATGTCTCGTAATACTGTACCTAGCGTGTGCAATGCGTCTTTTGAGTAATTATTTATGTTTTATTTAATGCTTTTTCTCCTCAATCGGAGTAGACAGTTTCGCTTATCGTTCGGTTCACACTCCTCCCGGCCTTATGAACAGAAGTTTATGTTTTCGCTTGTTCGCTTTTTAGGGTGGGGTTTCCGGGTTCTCCTAAATTATTTAAATTCTCATCCACATACATTGTTGCCTTGCTTGCTAGAATTGATTCAAAAATATCTAAGGGTAGAGCATTCTTCACCAGATGTCGTAGACTGGCACTAAACGCTAACAAAGAATGAACAATACCAAATAACAGACACCACCTCACCTGAACACTTTAAAAAGCAGGGAGATGAATAGCGCATGGAACTAACAGAAAAATATAAACATAATCGATATGTTGACTTTTACACGACTTCCAAGGAAGGAATTCTTTGTTAATACGGGAAAACATTTCGGGAACTAGAGAAAACTGTTCGCCCGAAAATTGATTTCAGAGAAAGGTTTTATAAATTTTAATCGACGTTAATGATATCAACTTCAGCCAATGAATGTCGAATGTTTCCTGATGAGGAAATGAATCAGACACCATTTCCATTAAATATGAAAATTAAAAGCAGACATCATCTTACAATGCAGCCAACCAAATAACATCCGGTTTTAAAAGAGTGTTTCGAATAAATAAGCGTATCTGACATGACCCTAGAGTCGAAGATGGAACTGATGATATTTTGGACATTTTAATTGATACAGACTATTTGATTAAGCATTTAATTATATGGAATCGATTTAAACAAAGAAACTCTACGATATAGATAATCAATTGCTATATCACTTATCTCCTCACACATATATAGAAAGAGTGATAGAGAAAAATAGAAAGAGAGGAAAAAAAGGAACAAGCATTGCATGGTAATTGTCAAATTTATTTCAGTAAGATAAGAAAACATTGATATCTGCAAACGGTCTATTTCCAATACTGAATATTCTTCCCATAATGGAAATATTTATACATTTTTTTAAATCATGCTAGCCATTAAGACACAGGCGGTTTGTGAGTGTTATAAGAATAACAACAACAAAATAAGAAACAATAATGAGAGAGAACAAGAGACGAGTAACTAAGAAGACAGTATATAACTATTGACACTGTATTTAAATTTTTGAAGATTAATGTTGGCTTGAAAATATGGAGCTCGGAAGAGTGTTCCACAATCGAGAAATGCAAGAAAAGAAGCTGTTAACATAGAACTTACGGTTGCATTTAAACAGTTTAACAGTGAAATGAAGGAGAATTAATCGATAATCTAGTACTGAATTTAAATTCATTAAGTCTGGGTACCATAGTGAGATTATCAGAACAGTTACGATGAAAATATTCAGAGAAATGGAATGTAGAAGTTACATTACAACGCAGGGAAAATGTCTAAAGCCGAGAGGCCAGATCAAGAGCAATACTATAGCGGAATCTTCTTTGGATTTTATCGAGAATCTCTAAATATAGACCAGGAGCCCCTGACCATTTGTCTATTCAAAAGCGACTTCGGATTTCAAAATTTCTGTCAGTAAATTTAATGCTAACGTATTTGGAGACATCACTTAAGTATAACGCTAGATCCGACAAGAAATATCTTGTTCGTTCTTCATTTCTTTCTCTAGCGCAAAAGAATAAACACAGCCAGGAGAAGAAAAATAAGCAACTTAAATTTAAATTGCGTGATATCTCGAACACTCTGCGAATTTTTAGATTCGAATTATACAACAATGAAATGTCATAGATTTTACAAACATTATTTTACCCTTTACATGTAATTTTCGAAATAGACTAAAGACTAAAAACGATGTTTTCCTTCATGAATATTATTTTTGTTTTATCAATACTGATCTGGCATTTTTTGCTGTGTGCCGTAACGTCTCAAGTTCTCAATTCTTTTCGTCGGCCTAAATCAAGGGGTGCATTTATTCATATGTAGAGGTCATTGAATTGGCGGAGGGCGACACTGAGTCTGATATTTCATCGCATCCTTAAATGGAGAGTTGATGGCGAGATTGTTGAAAGGTCGCTTGGTTGGAGAATGGGCGTTCACCATCATTACAATCGGAAACCAGTTTGTGATTTGTGACTCTCGGCAATAATCATGAGATCATCATTTACAAGTGGATATATAATTGGAAATCTTGTCTTAACTGAAGTGCTCAATGAGTTGCTTTTTTCTATATTTTCTATTCTTGACTGCCAGAAATTGTATAGCAATGTTATATCCTTTTGTTAAATTTTCAAAGCCTTAGGTAATGTGATTCTTTGGCAACTAATGAAGTGAGTTGTTCAGAACTCACAAAAAGACCAACTACGGTTGTTTTATCGTAGAATAAAGTCAACTAAAACACGCCCACGCACACACAGACACATACACACATAACAAATATACATGTATATAATATAATAACACCCACTCAGGTCTGTTGATAATAAAACAGTGCTTGACGTATAATAAGAGAGCTATAATTTATATTAAAAATAAATATATATTTGTCTTGTGTCAGTACATGAAACTCAGAGCTGAGTTATCAGTAATATATATATATATATATATATATATATATATATATATATATATATATATAATTATTTATTTAAAAATATAATTCCAACTCGCGACATAAGAGGTCTCATGTTTCAAAACAAGAGCCGAAAACTTCAATATAATTATTTGAATTAAATTGAGTTAAAGTAAGTTCTGTTCCATCTTCAAGCGAAATTTTTTTTGGAATAACGCATTTCTGAAATTTACGTTTTTTAATAATTGAAATCAAAATTTCCATGGTAACAGCTGGGGTGAATTGTTTAAATTGGGTAGGCGTGTGTTGGGTGTTAATAATAAGTATCAGTATAGAGTTACTTTCATAGCTGTCAAGTCAGGGAAAGGTGGGGGGTGTCTACATTTGAAACGGAAGATGTATTCACCCTAGTCTGCTATGCGTGTATATGGAGATTTATTTATTATTTTATTTTATTTTTTTATGATGAAGGTATTTGTGCATATAAAAAACTTCCGTAACGTTTGTTTTTTGACGACTTCATAAAGGGTTATATTTTTGTAGGGTATTTATACTATTTATTTGGGCTATGGATTATGAAAGTTATCATATTGTATGCTTGTTCTTAGCTAATTATTCAGACCATGAATCTGATGATTGGGCTATGGATTAATCAAGTTATTATATTGTATGCTTGTTTTTAGCTAATTATTCAAACCATAAATCTGATGATGTCAACAAAAAACCGTTAACTCATGTCTATTGTTTAATAGATTATTATTATTTAGAAGCTTTGTAATGTGCAGTTTCTCATGGAGGCACAAAGGGCATGGGTCATCCCAAGTTTTACATGTTCTAGCCCTGTTTATACTTTTCCATTTTACTTTAGGTATCCTATTTGTTTCCTTCAGATGCCAAAAATATTTAGATAGGGAAGTCTGATTTCTTTTATTTATATTATTGAAAGAGCACTTATGCTGCCTCCATCTATCTTTAAAATCATTCTTCGTGGACCCAATGTATATCATATTAGTGCTAGGACTCTCAGTGGATGATATAGTACATTGGTATACCACAGATTTAATGCAGCATTTATTTTCTAATGGGCAGTCTTCTAGGTTTATACAATTACACAATTTTCCCTTTTATTGTCTGATTTAAGTGCAGGGTTTTTATTAATACTATTCAGGCATGGGGGTTTGTTCAGGATCTTATTATTGTGTTTTTTTTATACCTTCAAGATTTTCAGAGCAGTTGTAACTCAGTTTTAGGGTGTTCTTATTGAATATATTACTAAGCTTACTGTTGGTGGGGAAGTGTTTATCAACTAGAGCTAAGAATTTCTGTCCTAGTTTAATACTAACCATTTGGTTGAACGGAGGGGTATACCAAATGATTTTTCTTTTCCTGTTTTTTTTTCTTATGGCCAGTGCAATCGTTTCTATAGCTTTTTTATAACCACTATTTTTTAGGGCAGTGTTATAGAAGCCATTGTGTTGTTGGAATATTTCCTTGTTAGCGGAGTTAATGCTAATTCTATTTTATATTGACGTGGGTATATGTTTAATTATGGATGGAGGGTGGTTTGACTTCGGGTATATATATAAAGGGTTAGCATTTGGTTTTCTGTAAAGTTAGTATGTGTTGCCTGGTAAGTCTAGAGTTACGTCGAGGAAGATTACCCTTTTCAAATTAGAAGAGACAATTATCTTTAAGTTTAGTTTTTTAAATTCACTGAATATAATTTTTCTGATTTTGTCTATCTTAAAACTAGTTGAACTCCTAAATACCATGAGCCCGTCATCTCTATACAGTCCGATGTCCTTAATATCAATTTCGCGGTGTGCCGTTAAGTTGTACAGTATTAGAAGACCAACAAGGTCAGAAGACCACGCAGAGTCTAATGACCCCATAATGATGTCAAACAGGTCGTTATTGTTTTTTATCCATTGGTCCTCATTATGAATGAGGACCGATTTCTTTGCGCTGAGAATTATATATGTTTCTTCCTTTGTCAGGTTAGAATACATAAGCAAAGTCCAGGGCAGTCGAAACAGATCCTTCGAAATTGATATATATGTGTGTGTGTGTGTGTGTGTGTATATATATATATATATATATATATGTGTGTGTGTGTGTGTGTGTGTGTGTGTGTGTGTCAGAGATAGTTAAACCTAGAAAGCCAGACAAAACACAGAGTTTCACCTAAGCGGATCGTCAGGAAATGCCGGCCTTCCCTGATGATCTGCTTAGGAGAAAGGTTGGTAGTTTTGTCTGTCTCTACGTTTAACTAGGTCTGTTCTAAACAGGCATTATTGTATTGAGCACTTTATTTAGTTTAATAAGGATACTCGCATCGGGGTTTTTTTTTTGGGCCTTGAACTCGTATGTTGGACGATTATTTTCGGTTAACGTACATGATTCTTGGTTCATTCTTTTTTTTGTAAACGAAAAGGAAGGTATTAATTGTTTATTTGCAAATCAATACAAAGAAGGAGGAATTTCCGAAAGCGAATATAGTTTCTTATACTTATAAGATTTCTATTAAAATAAAATATATATATATATATATATATATATATAGAAAAAGAGAAAAGAAACAAATGTGTGTGTGTGTGTGTGTGTGTGTGTGTATTTCAAAAATATATCTATTGGATGTTTTGGTACAAATCATCAGTGATGTTTCTAGATTAAGTTAGAGGTTTCAGGACATTCAACATCATAGAAAAAAGAACGAGCCGATACAGATCGGGGACCGACTTGTGTACCTTCCGTTAGCTACATTTTTTTCTATCCTCCCGACCACAGACTGCGACTCTTCTTGGCAATTTACGTTAAAATCTCAGATAACTTCCGGTTCACCAGCAATTTGGGCTATCCCATAAAAAGGAAACAAACACAACCACATATCTATATAGTGATATTCCAAGCATTGCTTAGATGCGGCAAACTACACACACACACACACACACATATATATATATATATATATATATATATATATATATAATCGGCCCGAATATTTAAGAAATCTTATTAAAGAAAAAATATGCGCTCTTCGTTAGGATTCTAACTAGTGTGCCTTTTGGAAGAGGGAAAGCGTCGTTAGATCCGACGTGCAATAACCGAATTGCCAACGAAGAATTGCCTATCAACAAAAAAAGGTCTGAATAGTGCCCTTAAAAGTAAAAAGAAAAGGTCACTGATTCGTCGAAGTTTTCATATCTGCTCCTGTACTTATCCAATTGTAATTAGTGTAATATTCTAGATAATTAATTTATCTTTTTATTTACCTGTCAGACAATTACTATAAGACACACACACACACACACACACACACACACACACATATATATATATATATATAT